TACGGGAGGATTGTCACACAAATGCTAGTGTCCTCACCACTGCTAACACCACCAGTATGGAAGCATTGATTATTCAACGTCAGCTGTGGTGGACAGGGCATTGTGTGTGCATGCTTGATGTACATTTACCAAAACAACTGCTATAGTTCCAACTTAGCCAAGGGAAAAGGACACAGAGGGCCAAAGGAAATGCTTCAAGGACATTAAGTGAGTTGGTCTAATAAAAGACTTTTATTAAGTTGTATTGGTGTAATAAAAGGTATCAGATTTACTCAAAGAACCTTGTCTGCCTATGTCCGTAGACCAACATGGCTACAACCTACACCCCTGAAACATTAAGTGTGGTATTGACACCACAAACTGGGTAAAACTAGCCTGGGACAGGGCTACGTGGTGATGCCTTGTGAGAAAAGGAACATCATACTTTTAGGAAAACCATCTTGCCCTGGAGGCAGAAAAACAACAGAAATGGAAGGCAAGGAAACAAGGCTGAGAGATCTATGGTCTGACCTGTCTTTTAAACATTGCCTGTGGCATTTGCCAGAGGGTCTGCAGCTCTATGACCCGCCTTCATAGCCATCAATGGACTCATTTACCACCCTTTACTTGTTCCGTGGGAGTGATCAACCTTGACCGTGTGATTGCCATACCTGGTATAGTACAAACTATATTTTTTGAAAGCATAAACTATGCATGATATTAGGCCAAAGCCAAAGAGTCATGATTTACCACATAGTTATTTGGGCTGGGCCTCACCAAAGTCAACAGCATTTAAAGTCATGGTGACCCCACAGTTCAGCACGTCTCAGTATATGTATGCACTCCAGTTCCCTTTCCACAAAGCATCCATGTGCTGATTAGCTCCCATTCATGACTGGGACTGAATGTTCTTATCACAAATCCTGGGATGCTTCAAAAATGTATATGCAGATGAGGTGCAGGGCAATGGAGTCCTGCTTCACCTCATGGAGGGTGGGACTGCACTAATCATATGCGCCAGACTGAGATGGGCCAACAGAGGGATTCTGAATGAACTGTATGCAGTCATGGCTCACTATGATTTGAAAAAGTCAGCAGTGAGGGGGGCTGCACTTAATGGCCAGTATGGTATGTCTTATTCAGATGGGCTGTAGTAATCTATTTTTGTGGTAGGGTCCTTGTTTGCCCAAAATAGGCCATGTGTTTCATAGTCATGCTTAGTGTTGGCTGCATGTAATCAAATTCATAGTTTGTTTCTGTTGTTTCCACATGTTGCTTCTGGCACGGCGGGGTCCTGTAGGAGGGCTGTGATCTCCTTAAGGCCCTCTCTCCGTGTCAAGTTGGCCCAAGGGCACCCTCTGTTTCTCGCTTGCCACGTCTTTGCTGTTAGATAAGGTTGGGAGGCTGTCTTACGCCCTCTCGGACACGTCTCTATGTTGACTCAGACCCCGTGGTTTTCCCGGACTCCTCGTGGGTCTTCTCCTGCCAATGGGTGCTTTGGGGCACCCTAGCCTTATGGGCTATGCGTGGCTCCAACCACCCCTGATACCACGCCCCAAGCCTCGCAGATGGAATTGACGTTGGTCTGTCTATCTGTCTATATTCACGCCTGTCTCCCGGGCCTTCTCTGAGTGCTGCCCCCTTTCCTGGGGCCTTCTCTGAGTGCTGCCCCCTTCTCTGGGGCCTTCTCTAATAAGGCGCTCCCCTCTTTGGGGCTCGTTGTGCCCAACTTGGGCTTCTTAAAATGCTGCCCTCCTCCTGGGGGCTCTCTGCGCCCACACTTGGGCTTCTCAATAACGCCCCGTCTCTGGGGCTCGTCACGCCCGCACTGGGACTTCCTAGTAGTGCCCCCTCCTGGGGCTCGCCGTGCCCGCACTGGGCTTCTTAAACAGTTGTGCCCAACTTGGGCTTCTCAAAGTTGCCCCCTGCCTGGGGCTTGTTGTGCCCAACTTGGGCTTCTCTAAGTTGCCCCCTTCCTGGGGCTTGTCACGCCCGCACTGGGCTTCTCAGTTGTGCCCCCTCTCTGGGGCTCGTCACGCCCGCATTGAGCTTCTCAAAACGCCCCTCTCTGGGGCTGGGGTCTAAGCACCCCGTAAGCTGCGCCCTCCTGGGCGCCAGGGTCCTCACACTCTGCTATGAGGCCCCTTTAAGGATACTGCGCCCTCAATGGCGCTGTGGTCCCCACGCCACTGTGGGTCCCTATGAGTATGCTGCGCCCACTCGGGCGCTGGGGTCCTCACACTCTTCGTTGTGAGTCCCCAATGAGGCCTCCTCCAACCCCTTATAGCCTCACCCAAACCACCGGTGTAATAAACAACAAAATGCTACAGAAACTTGAGCCTCCTGGCTATAACATAATGTAAAGCCGCCTGGCTAAACCACGTTGCACAAACGCCCTAGAGCTGCCATCCATAACTCTGCTCAGGCAGTACTGCTTCTCACATCCCTACTCTGGGAGCTCCTGCCTCTCTGGCTGCTGACAGGGAACTGCCAGCCTGGCCTCAGCCCTGGGCTTTATAAGAGCCAGGCTCTGCCTCCTACAGGCAGCTGACCGCTGGCAGGTGTGGGTCATTTGCTCCCTCCGGTTGCCCTGGCAACCCACAGGTGGGCTCCTATTCCCTGCTAGGGCTCTTTATGCACTGCCAGAGCTTTTCCTCTGGCAGTTTCTGCCCTCTAGGAGCAGGGCACCTCAGTGCTCTGTGACACAGCAATTTAACAATGTACAATGTATTTAGTCAGATTTTGTTGCATGTGATTATTAGATGAGGGTTTTTTTCCCCCATGCCAGTTTGGGGGGGGGGGGGGAAGCTTGTTTTGTATTCAAGTAAATACAATACTCTTTCTTCCTTCATTTTCCCTTTCTATTTTTTTCATACCTTTCTCATCCTTCCCTCATCAAAATGCTAAATCTGTGCTTTAAAAAAATGTGCTGCCTGGGTTACTTTAGAAAAGAAAGACTTTAAAAATCTGAACTTTGTGCATTGCACCATGTTATAAACTAAGAGATGCTTTTCTTCTGTGTTGAAGATCAGTGTGTTTAATTCATCAGATGTTTTCTCTTATTGTAAAGAGTTTCCCCTCTCAGAACCCTTCTCCTAGTGTCTTCTAGTATCTCCTAAAAGCATATGATTTCATGACAGTTGTCAGGATTCTGTATGAATTTCTCTCTTCAGTTGTCTAATGGTTTAACAAAAAGTATTAACAGTATAATCAGCCACACAACTTTATCTTCCATGTTGCTGTAGTGTTGCAGTATTATTATAGCCATCATGGGCCAGGTAATTAGTATGAGAGAAGCAGGATTTACTTGGCAATATTTTTTATTGGAACAGTTATTTTGTTGGGAGAGATGTTAGACAAGCTTTGGCCACAGACCTGAGAAGAGAATGTTTTGCCTTAAAGCTTGACTAACATCTCTGCCAACTATACAGTTGGTCTAGTAAAAAAAAATTACCAAACAAATCTCACTTCATGTTAACTTTACAAAAAGAAGTAGAATATTTACCATTTGTAGTCATTAAATGGCATTTTACCAACCAGTCAGAAGAAAAATTGTAATAAAAGTGAGTCTTCTTTTGGTGCGATTCAAGGCATTGTTTTTATCTGTGTGATGAAGTTTTTTGTTAATTTTTTTGCTTAGGCCTTTTGTTTTGCTTGAACCCTTAGTTAGTGTAAATCATCATAGCTCCATCGACTTTAATTGTAACAGGGTAACTATTGGGGCTGGTCACCATGCCGGTCACCATGCCCACCTCCCTGTCTGGGCAGTCTGTCCACCTACACTCGCCTGTCATGCCTTGGCCCCTTTCTGGGTCGCTGTGGCATCTGGCCCAACTAAGCTTCAGGTGTCCTCGGACATGCCTGGGCCTTTAACTCACGCCCCTCACTGGGGCCTCTACTCCAGCTATACCGATCAGCTTCTGTGCAGCCCTCCAAACCATCTTCAGGCCCAACTCTGCATTGCTGCCAGGTGCAGCTAGTTCAGCCAGCACCTATGCAGCCCTTCAGACCATCCTTGGCCCTACTATACACAGCTGCTGGCTGCTGCTACTCTGATCGACTTATGTGCAGCCCTTCAGACCCTCGTCAGGTCCTACTCTGCACAGCCACCGGCTCCCTACAACTCTGCCCCCTCACTGGGGCCTCTGCACCTCAGGCATCTGCCAACTTACCTGGACCCCCTTAACTTAGCATATGGCTGTTCAGGCCTCAGGCGTCTGTCAGCATACCTGGACCCTTCTGGGCATTACACTTCCTTGGAACTCAGGTATCTGTTGACTTACCTGGACTCTTGCCTCAGGCCCCACTCATTGGGCTTGGGCTCCTGTGCTTTTGTGTCAGGGTGTGCTCCCCTAGCCTTTCCCCTCCACAGGGTAACCCACAAGGCAGTGAGGGCTAAGGCTTTCTGGTGCCCCATACTCACCCTTCACTGGGGAGGCACAGGTGTGGCATTTCCTGGAAGCTGCCTTGCCAGAAGCAGCCCCACCACAACATCCAGCTCCAGCAGGGTGTAGTTTTAGGTCATTCCCCAGGACCAGGAACCTCCTGCCATCCCCACAGTTCCTACCCTGTCCTCTGGGTGTTCCTGAGCAGGAGCTCCAACTGGGTGATGTTCTGCCTCTAGCTGCTTGCAGCAACTGCTGCTGGATTTACTGCTCAAGCCTGCTCTTATTGCTAGCAGCTGAGTCCTCTTCCCCAATCAGGCAGTCTCCTGCTAGCCATATGACTCCTGACTGGGGAGCACAGCCATCTGCAGGTTGCCTCTGCTGCCTACTCAGGCCCTTTGAGTGGCAGGCACCACAGGTGTCCTGCTGCAAGCAGGCACCCAAAGGTGCCCTGCCACAGTAACGGTGCTACATATCATTGTTGCATATCTGGCACTTTATTGACAAATATATGTACAGACCCTTAGTGTCTCAGTTATTAATTTCTGGAGCCATTTTTGATGACACAATGAAATTGGATCACCTTTTATATTCAGACTGCACTCTCAACAAATGCTCACATGTATGATTTTCCAGGGAAGAATTAGAAAGACAAACCAAAGAGACACTGAAACTCCAAGAAGAAGCAACCAAATTCACCATGGAATCAATTACACATTCTCGGACTCATGAGGACACTTCATCAAGTGGCAGCATTTCCACTGGGGGCAAGTATTAAGCAGATTTCAACACAGTAAGAATTCAAGAGTATATCACTTTTAATATTAGGCTGTCTTGTGGTGCAAAGCATAGACATAGCATGCAGTTGTTAAAAAGGTGCTCAAGGGTTGAAATTTTACATTAAGATTTAATTTTTAGGTAAATATCCTCCAGTTGTTTCAAAACTGGCACCTCAAATTCTGAACAGCATACAAAAATTTCATTTTTGTTTTTTCCTCTGAATTAACAAAGCAGTGGTTAGGCTTGTGGATGGGAGTTGGGCGTGTATGGACAAAGGTAGAGTCTTCCAATTCTAGACTACTGGAAGACTGGATCCACAAGAGCATAGATCAAAATCAGACTGCCAGTGGTTCCTTATTAAGGCAATAACGGATGTCTTATTTTACCCATGGATAATCCAGCCATGCTACTACCATTGGCTAGAGGGTGATCACCTCCCATGGTTCACTCTACCATGGGATGGCCATCCTGGGAGCTAAGGGCTGTGGCTGCAGAGACTGACCCACCACCTCCCTGCATGTTGTGCAGTTATCTATGTGAGCACAAGATGAGAGCAACCAGGGCTTGAAACGATACTATTCTGATCTTCCAGCTTCTCCCTCACACATTATACTGGAATAAAGGACTAAACAGAGGACAGGGCAAGAATAATTTGTCCTTAGAACAAGGAAACTTTTAATATCTATTACCTTAATACCTTCCAGTGACCGGGAAGATGGGATGGAGTGCACCCTCAGCAAGTTTGCAGATGACATCAAGCTGGGGGGAGTAATATATACACTGGAGGGTAGGTCTAGGATTCAGAGAGATCTCGGTGAACTGTAGGATTGAACCAAAGGAAATCTCATGAGGTTCAGTAAGGATAAATGCAAAGACTTGCACTTAGGATGGAACAATCCTGTGCACTGGTACAGAACTGACTGGCTAAACAGCAGCTCTGCAGAAAAGGAGCTGGGGGTTACAGTGGACAATAAGCTGAATATGAGCCAACAGTGTGCCGTTGTTGTGAAGAAGGCTAATGGCATTGTGGCCAGACACCTTTGGTGTCTGCCACTTTAAGAGGCTTAAGCAGGCTGTGGAGCAGCTGGCAGGTGCCGTGCAGCCTAACGAGGCAGTCACATGACTGTGGGAGGGCTCCTGGATTGGAGGATGGGGATGAGCAACCTCATTATAAACCCAGGCCCTCAGGGCTGAGCTGGCAGTTGTTGGAGGGAGCCAGAGAGAGAATATTGCCCAGAAGACCCAGTGAGGAGGTGGAGTAGTGGCCACAGGGTGGGGTCAGAACAGTAGCCCCAGTAAGGGGTGGTGTGGCCCCAGTAGGGGGACACGTGTGGGAGCAGCTGAGAGGTAGGCTGTGTAGAGTAGGGTCCGTATGGGGGCCTGAAGGGCTGAACAGGGACTGTAAAGTAGGGTCTGTGGGAGGGGCCTGAAGGACTGTGCATAGTCTGATAGCGCGAGCCCCAGTGAGGGGGCAGAGTAGTTACCCCAGCAAGGGGATAGTGTAAGGCCCTAGTGAGGGGCCATGAGTTGAGGCCCCAGTGAGCAGGGCATATGTCCAAGGTAAGTCTCCAGACACCTGAGGCCAAGTTTGGGCCAGAGGCCCAGTGCAGCCCAGCAGTGGGGCCAGGGGAGTTAGAAGTAATTTGGATGCCATCTGCGAGGCATGGGACATGGTAAAGGGGAGGTTGGAACTGTGTATTATGCCCTTGGCATCAGGCATTAAATGGGCAGCCTCCCACCTTAGAAACAACTTATTAATTACATCAAAGGTGTGGCAGGAAAGTCAGGTGGGCGGACTGCCCTAGACAGGTGGGCACACCAACTTTTTGAAAGGCCCCTGAGACAACCCCCTGTCACAGGCGTACTGGGCTGCATTAGTAGGAGCATTGCCAGCAGATCAAGGGAAGTGATTCTTTCTCTCTATTCACCACTGGTGAGGCTACATCTGGAGTACTGCATCCAGTTTTGGGCCCCTCACTACAGAAAGGATGTAGGCAAATTGGAGCAAGTTCATAGAGGGCAATGAAAATGGTTCAGGGGCTAGGGCACATGACTTATAAGGAAAGGCTGAGGGCACTTTACTTATTTAATCTGGAGAAGAGAAGATTGTGGGGGATATAATCACAACCTTCAGTTACCTGAAGGGTGGCTCCATTGAGGATGGAGCTGGACTCTTCTCAGTGGTGGCAGATAACAGAACAAGGAGCAATGGTTTCAAGTTGCAGCAAGGGAAGTTTAGGTTAGATATTAGGAAGAACTTTCTCACTAGGAGAGTAGTAAAACACTGGAACAGGTTATCTAGAGACGTGGTGGAATCTCCATCCTTGGAGGTTTTTAAGACCTGGCTAGACAAAGCCGTGGCTGGGATGACACAATTGGGGATGGTCCTGCTTCGATCAGGGGGTTGGACTAGATGGCCTCCTGAGGTCTTTTCCAACCCTAATTTTCTATGATTCGGTAATTGATTTTCCATTGTCTTGAAGAGGGTTGCACACAGATCTGCACCATTACTTCATTTATTCTCTGTAAGGAGTCCAGTTTTAACATTCAGTATGTTCCCCTTTTAGGTGCTATTAGCCCATTCATCATCAATCAGAACATGTTGGCTTCTTCCATTCACAGCGCAGTGATGGAAACTTCTGCCTCTTGCACTGGCAGTAGCCCCCCCAAAACAGTCTTGTTTTCTAAATATGAAGTGGACATAGATACCCAGAGAAAGAGTGCTGGTTATCTGGGAAAAGAACACATTGAAAGCATCTTGGAAGAATATTCACAGCAAGTTCGAGATTTGCAGAAGAGGCTAAAGGAAGTGAGTTGCAAATTTTGCACTAGAGTCATATTTACAGCTAAGCTGTGCCACTTCCATATGGGCTGGATTCTTGGGCTTCCTGAAGCAGTGTTGCCTATGTGTCAGATCTGGCCTGCAGAGCCATGTCATCTGGCTGGCAGGGATCCCTACTGAGTTTGGAAATTTAGTAATAGAGGAATGATGGCAGTGTCAATTTCTGCTCCTGTACTTCCAAATTTCCAGACCCATGTGGAGCTCTGCAGGCGGATAACTTGGCCCTTCTCTTGTGTGCAGGGTTGCTCCATGGCCAGATTCTGGCTCACAGGGTCAGGCTAGCACCCAGGCAGATCCAGGCATGCAGGAGTTGGGCCAACTCAGCCAGATCTGGACTTGTGTGGCCAAGGTGGTGCATGGCTGGATCCAGTGCTCAGGATCAGCCCAGCATGGAGAATTGCACCTGCAAACTGATTCCATGTGCTGACTGTACACAGGATCTGGGCACAGACTGACTCCTTTCCACTCTTCTGGCCTATGGGTTTGAAAGGTTGGGCACCACTGGCCTAAAGGATGGTCTCATAAGCACAGTTTAGAACAATTTTATGGCTTTCAAATAACATTTGGCAGACCAGAATAGCCTGAGGGAAATGGCACTCTTGCCAAGGCCCTTTAGTCTGTGTCTTCATCACACCTCCCAAACTTTAGCATAGAGGAAGAAGATATTTCCTCAGAGACATTAGTATTGACTCTAATAATGAGTTACCATGTTGTTCTTAGTTGGATTTCATATTGATCAAAATTTAATAATTTTTTTTGGGGTTTTTTTCAGACTACTGAGCTGCATGAGCAACAGAGGTTCCATTTAAAACAGACCATTATAGATTTGCAGACCAAATTAAAGGAAGTGCAAATGGAGAGAGAGACCTTGATGGATATTAGGTGCGCACACTTAAAGAGTCCATACAAAACCCCTGTGTGGGCTTTGGGAGGCAGAGCAAGACTTGAAAGGTGGAATCAGCTTCCAAGAGCAAAGAGACTTCTGGAGAAAGAAAGGCTCTGCCTCATAGGTTTAGGCAACACGCCAGACCCCCCAAATTGCATAAATAATAATTATTAAAATAATATACTATATTAGGTTGAGTAAAAATGAATATGATATATCACATAACTTTAAATATTTCTTGGGTTTCTGAAATACAGGCGACGAGAATCCCAGAGCCAGGAAGATATAAAAATACAGCTTCAGAGTACCATTCAGGAGTTAGAAACAGCTAATCATCTTCAGGAGGAGATGTTGAGGGAGGCTAACAGCCAAACTGAGCATCTGAAAACGATGGTGCATGTTCATGAGGAAGTTCTCCAGGAACTGCGGGATATCCTAGTGGATTATGAAGACAGCACAAGCAAGAAGGTGTATGAGCATGAGAATATCACTAATCTCCACATCCGCAACCTGGGCACAGCTTTTAGTAAAGTCCTACGAGATCTGGACTCAGAGGTCTCGTACCTCAAAGGGAGGATTTTCCCAGTAAGTGGAAATAATGCTGTTTTTTCTTCTACTTAAGTTTGGTGCTTCCAAGTCACTATTTGCCATTTACAGTACTCTACAAACCAAAGCCATGCCTCAAAGCCTGGCCCAGGTAACCATACTGTTCACTATCCATCTATGCATTGGGAAGCAAGGAGAATCTTCCCTAGAGCTAGAGAAGCTGTGAGAACAGCCCATACAGGTTGTGTCAGAGTGCTCCATTAACCCAGTACATGCCAACCCCAACCTCCTGGAGTGGTCCATCCAGATGTGACTCTGGGGAGCCCTGTAGAATCTATTTTTGCTCAGTATATCCAGGTGCTTTTGTATATAAAGATAAAACAAGCCTGAGATTCTAGTACTGCTGCTCATTTTTCTTCTAAATATGCTCAACAGCTACCAGATTACAGCTGTTACATCCATTTGGTAGTACCTTCGTGTGGCAGAGCAACCTGCTCCTTTATGGTTTGAGGACCTAAGGCAAGGTGGCTCTGTTCAGTTAGCAGGCCAAGCTAAGAGGTAATCAGATATCCCCTATAAAGGACTGAGGCAGAAGCTACAAAAAGTGGCAGGAGAAGGTGGACTCTTGCAATAGACTGAGATAGAGGGATCCATGGAAAGGAACGTTTGGGAGAGGTGGTTCTGGGTGGGCAAAGGAGGTTTTTGCTTAACTTTTAGCCTAAGTTTTATGTTAAAGAAAAAACTTGCCTCAAAAGATAAAATCTATTACCCACAAAATCCTGTTGCCTAAAACGAATTTTGAGCTTGTTAGTGTAATGAGTCTTTACTGGGCTGGTGGAAGAAGCTAGTTCCCTCCTATGCAGGTAAGAAGCAGCTTACGTATCAATGTAATAACTCAAACATGATATTGTTATATTATTCATGGCTGGCATCAATCACTAGGGCCTGGTTTAAATTGCAATTTAGCATTTTTCATGAAAATCATGAAATTAAGGGATTTGCCCAAGTGTGATTTGCGTGGGCGCCTGCCTGAGCCTTGTGGACTAAGTTGGCACTGGGTAGGGGAGGGGCTGTTTGAAAGAAAGCTCAGGGGCTCAAGCCCCCCGAGGCTCAGGCAGGTGCATGCTACGAGACACCTATGTGGGGGAACCCAGTGTGGGCAGAGCCCCCCACCTCACAGCCTGCTTCCTGGGAGTTGTGGGGGTACCTGCACCACTGTCCAGTGCCCAGTTCCCACCCCTTTCCACGCTGACGTGCAGCTTACCCTCCACCTGCTGCATACTGCTGCAATTCTGCTTGCTGCTGTCTTTTGAGGGGTCCTGCTCCGCCACCACCACCATCATTGCTGCCATTGTTGGAGGCAGGCAGAAAGACGCAGCACTGGAGCTGCCTCTGACACCTCCTCAAGGCCCCTTGCTTCCTGGTGCCAGGCGCGCTGCCAGATGAGTCCCCTCCCTGGCCCCAGGAGCCAGGTGGGTCCCCAGGTGGATTGGAGGCTTTATTTCCTGCCTCCCCCTCACCCCGCACTCCCACTGGACACTTCTGATCCCTGCCCCCAGCCTGGCACTGAGAGCTAGGCTCAGCCAGCCAGATGACCCTAAACCTGCTCCCTCAGCCAATCAGGCTGTGTGGGTGGGGTGCCACAATCCTAGTGTGAAAATGGCAGCCCCTACCACGATTGTGCCATGATAATTGTGAGCTGGGCCGTGATATAAGCTGGGCCCTATCTGCTGCCGAGCATGCTGGGGAGCCCCCTGTGCTTCTGTGGGACACTCCATGCGCCTCACCATCGCAGCACTCATAAGCTGCCTGCTACCTAGAGGTATGCAGAAAAAACATTTGAAGCTGCGTCCATGTCCGAATCACCGAATCTTTCCAAATCTCTCTGAATCAATTCGGAGGGTTCTGATTCGATTCAGAGAGATTAGAGGGTCCTGTGATTCAATTTGGATTTGGAGATTCGGCCTCTGAATCGGGCCGAATCTCCACCGAATCAAACCAGGGACTGAAACTTCACTCAGCCCTAGTGGCTAAGAGTGATTACTTACTTGATACCACTGAACTTTATTCCCAACAGATGGAAGAACAACTTGAATCCCTGAAAAAAGAATCACTGACCAAAACAGAACTTCTGCTTCAACAGCATCAAAATAGGTACCTTTCTCCATTTACTTACTAGACCTGATCAGACCACTGGGCATTTGTACTTCAAAAGGATGATTTTTTTTTGGTGCCAGATGCTGATACTACAGTGGGCACAAGGGGCAGGAGGAATTGCTGGTGTTTTAGGTCTCAAATGCCTCCATTCTAGCCTTTTAATGTCTCATAACGTCCTGATATTTTTACTTCTTAAACTGATCATTTTCAGTCACTGCCTGGAGGATAATCTTATAGAAGAGTTTGAGTAGAAATGGTTCCAGTGTGTAAAAGGGGGAGGATTTTCTGACTAGGTTTTTTACCATGTCCCTTCCTAATATTCCCTTCATGTAGGTTTATTTTTACTGACTAGTACTAAAATATTTAAATAATTCTTGTGAGGTGAACAAGGGCTGGTGCCAAAGCAGTTCATGCATATTTTTATGGTAAAAGAGGTGTGAGTTCAAGCCTCCCTCTGGAGTCTCACCAGTGACAAGCCCCAGTCAATCTAGCTGCAAATGGGTACCTGGCTGATGTGCTACAAGTTATATCACTCCCTTCTATGCCATTGGCTGCAGAAACTTGTGTTCCTTAATCATGCTAGCCTAATGGGCTGCTTAGGCTTGAATAAACCTTTTACCTTTGTGTGGATGGCAACACCATTTAAAGCCAATTAGGGCAGTGTCATCAGCTTCAGTAAGCTGAAAGATAAGAACAGTGAAATATGTCTTAATTATAACTGCAAAAAGTTTTGAAAGTGCCTTTTGCTTTTTTCAAGCAAAACTCTTCCCATGATTGTAATTAAACTGAGGGACTGATGTCACTACAGAGGCTGTAATACAGCTTGCAGGGGGCCTGGTAGTGCTTTAATATAAATAACAAGGAGTGAACAATTTAACTTTTATTTGCCGACTTATTATTCTGGGCCAACCCAACAGTACTTTCTTGTCTATTTCATTTGAAACAATGACCTTATACTCTAATATTGTCAACTGAATTCAGTTATGCTGAACTAGTAGCAAAATAGAAGCACATTTTATAAAATTCATAGCAAATCATCAAAATGTTTAAATTTGTATCCACAGTTCATGCAGTGGGGAACTTAGTTCCTGCCTTGAACACAATTTTAATCAGTATTTTTTCTTAAAACAGGATTGAAGAACTAATAAATGAGCATGAACAGGAGATGGCAGCACTGACTGATAAAGCTAATCATGCACGCAGCCATGCAAGTAGTATCCAAACCCATATGGAAATCATCCAGTATGTTCCTCAATTATATTGTAGACAACATTAAATGTAACCTTGATTCTCTCCACTGTTGCACTTCACCCTTCCTCTAATGTCTTGTTTTGTTTCAGATTTAGTCAGCCTTATGGAAATTGTGGGAGGAGATGGCTAGAAAGTTTGCTAAATAGACTAGAGCGAACATAGTCTTGTGATTAAGACAAAATTCTGAGAATTGGGAGACACAAAGACTTGACTCTCTTCTTGCTTAGCAGAGTGTAAATCAAGCAGGGTAACTCATGAATTTATAGTGAAGTTAAACTGGTATGAAATGAGAATCAGGCCCTACCAGGTTCAACTACCATAAACTTCTTTGCAGAACATTGAACAAACTTCTGAAATCTGCGTTTTGAGCAGCTTCTGCATGGAGTAAAGTGAAGGAATAGGCAGAAATCTTTCCTTCACATGTTGCTGTAGTGGAATACTTACATAGTATATTCCTTGTTCTCCTTAAGGCAGAGATGGCCAACCTATGGCACAAGTGCCATGAGTAGCCTCTATGTGTAGCACATGGCAGATGAGAAAGAGGGCAGGCAGCACAGTTGAAACAGGCAGGGAGCAGAAAGCAGAGAAGCAGATCAGGCAGGGAGAACAGGGCTGGGAGCAGAAAACAAAGCAGCAGATCAGGCAGGGGTAGGGGATCAGAGTAGTACTCAGTGGGTTCATCTCCTTGTGAAATTAATGTGAAGTAATAAACTCCTGAGTTGAATATATGCCCAGGAGCAATAAACTCGTGAGCAGTAAACTCCAGCATTTATTGCCATTTGTATGTGTGCCTGGCATTGCAGCATGCTGAGCTGGATCAGGGCATCCCCAGCTGGCAGGGGGCCCCAGGGGTCAGCCTGCCAGCTCAGCGCTGCTCCCCCCTGGCTGAATGTACTGCAGAGGGGTGGCTGGGGCATGAGGGTGCTAGGTGGCATGCAGCCCCCACACTGAAGCATCCTTGTTCCCCAGCTAGTCGGGGCAGCATCTACATGTGTGCTGTTGTGGAGTTTTTAACTCTGCAGCTGTATTTACAAGTAGTATTCTGCTGTGGGGTAAATTAGTGTACTCCACCCTAGTAGGGATGCATGTGTAGATGCTGTGTAGCTGATTAGTCTACTGCACAGTAAACGTCTTGTGTAGATGTACCCAATGAAGGTATGGGGCTTAACTTGTGGCATGCCTGCCAAAAAGTTGGCTCCTACTTCCTTTGGGTGTTTAGGTACTTCTTCTGTATTCCACAGTTTCAAGAAGCAGGGCTCCAATAAGACCAGAAGAGGTGGGAGCATGGGCCTTGTCCTTTCTACACCCACCTAAAGACTGGGAAAAGTATGCTGCAAAAGCTCATTCACTGGTGTAAAAAGAGTACCCCCCGCCATGTGCAGGAACAGCACCTGGGAGATTGTGCCTCAGTTTGAGGCACAGTCTTCTAAGGCCTCATCCAGATATGGTGCATTTCCACAAATCCCCTAATCAAGGATTATTACATAAAGTAGCACTTAATCATTCAGTGTGTTGTAGTTTCCTTATCTGTAACACAGGGTGAAGAGTAGAATGGTCAAAAAACAGTGTTCAATAAAGTTCAGTCACCGTAGTGGACTGCCAGGTGGTATCTGGATATGTGTCAAGCTTTAGTAACTCTTAAATTTTTTTCCTATTTTCAATTTTTTTCTCAGAGAGCAAACAAGAAACCAGAATTCAATGTACACGCGTCAGGTCAGTCAGCTGGAATCTACTGTTTCTCAGCTACGTTCTGAATTAAGGGAAGCTAAAAGGATGTATGAAGACAAGGTATGTATGGCCAGAGCTCCTTAGGTACCCTGGGCAGTTTGTTTTTTAACTATTCAATTACATACTGTATTTAAGAACAAGTAGTATTGTTCTCTGACATAAAAAATAATTGCAGAAACCGCAGGTTAAAAACAGTGCAAATTATGCCTTTTGGAAATAAGTGCAAAGGACTGTTAAGTACCAGCCACATGATTATTAGTTATGTAGATTAAAGGCATTAAGCTACTTCAAAAATCATGGAACATATTTAGAAAACATAATCAAGCAAATAAAAATGAACTGTTTGCATTAGTTGTAGCATCCACAAGTGCTCTCCACTAAAGTTGTCTTGGAAAATGAAAGAGGTACTTAACCTGCCAAAGTATGTTAAGAAAGGGAGTTGGCACCTGGAGTGTTTATTTTTACCCATTAACTGTGTAGTTGTATATACTGTTTCTGAAGCTCCCTGTAATTATGATTGTTGCTATGATTGCTTTCTCCTCTAGTTAAAGCTCTTTGAATTCACAATTACAGTAAAATTATTTGACAAAGTCAAAAATTTGCCTCATTTCCTCACAAATCCTTTATTATGTTTACCTTTCCCCTTCTCATGCCTGCCTTCATATTGTTGGGATTTTCCTCACCTCATTAATATTCTGTTTGCTATCTATTGAATGTCCCTTATTTCAGGGACATTCAGTTTCCTAATCATATACCACCTGTGATCCCATAATATACCTGACTACAAAAGCATTTGGCTGCCTGGAAACATAATTTTAGTAGTTAAGCATTTTAAACTGTGTTCACCCTCGAAAGAGTGGTGGACAGATTTTTGATGGTACTTAGGTGTCTAGAGATTCACTTGTACAGGTTACTAACCTAACCCAATGCGATTCTTATTCTCACCCAGGAAATATTGCAAGCAGGAAAGACTGAGTTTGCTACCATTTAAAGGACCAAGCACTTTTCTTAATTCCAGCAGAAAGTTTAGTAGTGCTCTTAAAGTTCCCAATGCAAAGTACATGCAGCAAATCACCTTCATGTCCCATGACTTTTTTGCAGGCAACACATATGGAATTACTTCAGAGGGAATTTTTTCTATTTGCTCTTCCTCTATTCACTTTTTTGTCTCTTTCCAGAGATTCCTCTCTCAAAAAATACACATTCACTGCCCTCTCAAAAATGGGAACAAGGGAGTTACTTTAAGTGTGTATCAGAAAGGTGTTGGCTCCCATTACTTCTTTTTCCCAAGTATGTGAGATCTAAGAAAATTGAACATAGGATCACAGCAAAGGTAGGGTTGGAAGGACCTTATGGGTGCAGACAGAAGTTACATTTGTTGCATGATTGGCCCCCTGAAACTGTTCTCCAGCCAGGCTATGACACACGCTCATGGCTGCAGAGTGCTTTACAAGTGGCCAAATCGTACAACAAATTAACCATTATCAAATGAGGGATCAGATGAAAGCGCTCCACTTTGAAGCACCTTAGGACAGTGATTCTCAACCTTTTTTGTACCAGGCCCCGTTTGTAAACATCACTGGCCAGTCCTGACCCAGTAAATAGTTTAAGTAGAAAACAGGTCCCTGGCCTGCAACCACCACGGCCGTTCTCTTTCTGGCCCCAACCTGCAGTGCCCCCCCCAGCCCTGCTCATGCCCCTCACTCCCGACCTGCTGCTCCCCACCCCCAGGTCCCAGCCCCCAGTGTGTGGGGCAGGCGGGGGTGTACGGGGCATGGGGGGGCACGTGCCCCCCACCCCCATATTTATGCACCTACAGTGGACACAGGGCTGTAGCTTGCTGGCCTGGCACAGGCAGGAGCTGTCTCCATGGCCCAGTGGGTGGGACCCAGCTCAGGAGGGAGGAGTGGGGTGGCGAGACTTGTTGTTGTCACCGCCACTGTCAAGACCCCTGCACCAGCCACACTGCCAGCAGTGCGAGGAGTAATGGATGGGGAAGGGCAGCGCTGCCCTCGTCTCCTCCTGCCACTAGCTGTTTACATGCTGGGATGTGGCTCTACCATGCCACCACGGCCCAGCTGTTGCTGTTGCCACTCCACTCAGGCTGCCCACGCTGCTTGCCACCTCACCTCCCCTCCAGGGTAGAGTTATGGCCTGACAGGAGTGGCAGTGATGGCCAGGCCATGGTGGTGGGGTAGAGCTATGGCCCAGTGCATGAGAGGCTGGTGGCAGGAGGAGGTGAGAGCAATGTGGCACCCCCTGTCTGTTGCTCCTCATGCTGCTTGCAGCACAGTGGTGTGGGAGTCCTGGTAGTGGCGGGGGTGGGGCCCCCCGGCAGCCCCGCGGGCG